ACAAAGAGCTAAAGGTTAACATTTACCAAAAAAAAAAAAAGTACTCTCACTAAATGACAATGAAAAGAACAACTATTAAAATAAGCCAAGATTTTAAATAGGAAATCTACAGAAGAGTCCATTATCATATGAAAAGATGATCAAGCCTGTTAACAAACTTAAACTCTCACACCAGACATATAAGTAAATTGCGGATATATTAAAAGCTTACACTTTTAAAAAATAAGAAAAAATAACATTTGGGTGTTGTGGTAGACAGAATAATGCTTCCCCCCCCCCTCCAAAAAAAGTCCAATCCTAATTCCTGGAACCTATAAATGTTACCTTACATAGTAAAAGGACTTTGTAAACACTTTTAAGGACCTTGAGATAGGAAGCTTATCCTGGATTATCCGGGTGTGATAAATCTAATCACATTATCTTTAGAATTGGAGAACTTTCCCTGGCTGAATCAGAGATGAGACCAAAGAGAAGGAAAATAAATCTGAGGCATGAGAAGGACTTGGCAGGCCGTTGATAGCTTTGACGACGGAGGAAAGAAAAAGGCAAGGGATGAGGGTGACTTCTGGAAGCTGAGTCCTATTGACAGCTGGCAAGGAAAATTGGGTCCGGCAGTGCAAGAAACTAAATTCTGCCAACAACTGGAATGAGCAAGGAAACAGATCCTCCACTAAATCCTCCAGAAAAGAAGGCAGCCCTTCCATTGCTTTGATTCCAGCCCAGGGAAACCCTTGTTGATTTATGACCTAGAAATTTTAAGATAACAAGTTTGCAATAATTTTCCTATAGTAGCAATAGACAACTAATACAGGTGTCTATATGAACACCATATTGATTGGGGAGAATTTTCTACATAAAGCCAGACACTAAAAATATCTATAAAAAATATGCATCTTTTTTTTTTTTGAGACGGCATCTCTCATATTTATTGATCAAATGATTGTTAACAGTTAACAACAGTAAAATTCTGTACAGGGGACTCAATGCACAATCATTAATCCACCCCAAGCCTAGTTCTCATCAGTCTCTGATCTTCTGAAGCACAACGAACAAGTTCTTACATAGTGAATAAGTTCTTACATGGTGAACAGTACAAGGGCAGTCGTCACAGAAACTTTCAGTTTTGATCACGCATTATGAACTATAAACAATCAGATCAAATATGAATATTCATTTGATTTTTATACTTGATTTATATGTGAATCCCACATTTCTCCCTTATTATTATTATTATTATTTTTAATAAAATGCTGAAGTGGTAGGTAGATGCAAGATAAAGGTAGAAAACATAGTTTAGTGCTGAAAAATATGCATCTTTGATCGTTTTTTAAAAACATACAGAAAACATAACAAAATCATTAAGTTGTGGGGAATATTTCAATGCAGACAACTGATAAAAGGTTGATAGCTGTAAGATACAGGATATTTTGTTTATTTCTAAAATACTCAGTAAAAAGGGGGAAATTATATACATATATGTATATATAAAGAGCACATCCAAATGGTCAACAGATACATTAAAAGATGGACAGAGTCTCCAACATTCGATAAAGACAAATGAAATACACAGAGAGAACTTTTTTCTATCATACTGGCACGTATGTTAAAGGATTAAAAGCACTATTGGTGGAAATAACAGTTACTATAGCCTTTTAAGAAAGTTGTCTGGCAACATCTATTGAAATTTACATACCCTTTGACCAAATCCTCAAAATAAACTGGCTGCAAAGTTTCCTATATATAGCCTGTTCTTATCTCTTAAAAAACATATAAACAAGCAAACAAAGCAAAGTTCTCTGTGTATGTGTGTTTATTTTTTGTAATAGCAAGAGAGAAAGATAAGGAAAAATACACCAGGCTGCTAACACTGGTTACCCCTGAGAAGTGAACATGATCAACTTCATTTTTATTCATTATTTATGGGTTTTGTTTTATTTTTTCTTGTTACAATATTTGTATTAATAAAAATCAAAAAATGTATATAATTTATGGGAAAAGAACAAGTGAAGGATATTTTAAAACACACATTAAAGCACCAGGCTTGACTCATAATTCTGTGTTTAAGAATAAATATGTTTTAAATGAATGGAAGACTCCCCTCTCTTGTCCCCTGTTTAGGTAAGGACCTTCGCAGGGTCTCTGAACCTGTTTACTGACACTTTGCAAAGCGGCTTCCGGTTTCCTCTCTGTCTACTCCTCTCGAATGTGTGCTGTCTGACTGCAGGACCTGCCTAAGTCTTTGTTACCACATACCTCCCAACACCTACCAGTCTATGGTTTCTGAATGAATGAATTCTTTAATGAAAAAAGATTCTCACAGAGGAGGATATACATATGCCAGGAAACATATGAAAGAGTGTTTAACTCACTAATCATCGAAGAAATGCATATTAAAACCACCTCATACCCATTAGGATGACTGTTACTAAAAAACAAACAAACAAAATCTGGAAACAAGAAGTGGTGGAAAGTATGTGGAGAAATAGGAATCCTGTGCACTGTTGGTGTAAATGTAAATTGGTGCAGCCACTATGGAAAACAGTATGATTTCTTAAAAAAAAAAAAAGCAAAAATAGAGTTATCATATGATCCAGCAATCTCATTTCAAGACATATATATGTATCCTAAAGAATTAAAAATGGAATCTCAAGGAAACATTTACACACCCATATTCATAGCAGCATTATTCACAATAGTCAAGAGGTAGAAGCAATCCAATGTCTATTAGTAGATGAATGAATAAAGAAAACATGGTATATACACACGATGGAAAATTTTCAGCCTATGAAAATAAGGAAATCCTGTCATGTGCTGCAATAGAGATGAACCCAGAGGACATTATGTTAAGTGAAATAAGGCAGTCACAAAAAGACAAAAACTGCATGATTCTACTTGCATGAGATATCTAAAGTAGTCAAACTCCTAGAAACAGAAAGTAGTATGGTGGTTGCCAAGGGCTGGGGGAGCAGGGGAAAGGGGGAGTTTTGCTCAATGTGTATACAGAGTTTCAGTATTGCAAGATGAAAACGTTTTAGAGATTTGTTGCACAATAGTGTGAATATAATTAACTACTGAACAGTACACTTAAAATGGTCAAGATGGTAAATTTCATTGTTTTACCACAACTTTTAAAATGCAAAAACACACAAACACCTTGCAACATTGCTATAAACCCACCAGAATTGCTAGCATGAACAGGTATGGAGCAACTGGCTATCTCATACATTGAAGGTGGGAGTGTAAATTGGTCAACCACGTTGGAAAACTGTTAGTAGTTAGCAAAGATAAACATATTCCTACCCTATGACCCGGGCATTTCCACTCCTGAGTCTTTTCTAAGTGCAGGTGTCCATCAAAAGACATGGACACAAATAGCAGCTTTTCCACAAAAACCCTAAACTGGAAACAACCCAATGTCCACCAAGAAAAGAATGGATAAATATAAAGGGATATATTCATACAATGGAATATGATACCAAATGGAATATGACAATGAATAGAATGAACTACTGCTATATACAGCAATATATGGATGAGTCTCACACACAACATACTGAGCAGCTTGAAGCCAAACACAAAAGAATACATATCATGACCTCATTTATATGAAGTTCAAGGACAGACAAATCTAATCCATGGTGATAGAAAACAGAATAATGGTTACTTCTGGGAGAGGGTATGTTATAGACTAGAAGGCTATTGATTGGGAGGAGTTATATGAGAGTTTTCTGGCAGGCTGGAAATATCTTGATCTAAGTGATAATTACATATGTGTACATAAGCAAAAATACATGGAGACATATACTTGATACTAGTGTCCTTAATATAGTCATTTATACTATACACCAATAAAAAGTACAGAAAAGGAAAATAGAAAAATAGACTCATTCATGGAAGCAAAATTTAATTTGTCATATTTCTATATTCATATTTGAGTGACTATAGAATAAAATCACCATGTGTGGATATCTTTTTCTCTCAGCAGAGCAAGTTCACCAGAACTTGCAAACCAGAGAAGGATGCAGAGGCAAAACCTAAATCACGCAGTCTCCTTCTCCATTTTACAGAGGAAACAAACTGAGGGGGCAGGGGCAGAAGTTCACAGTAAGTTAGTGGAAGAGCCAGGGCTAGGAGGCAGATCTCATATACACCCCACCCTCCCCTGGACAACCATTTGCCGGAAATGACTGGATAATGAGGGCGGCCCCAGCCTCATGTTAACTGAGAAGAAAGGTCTGAGGCCAGGCAACTCCTGCAGATCATCAGGCTGGGAGTCAGTAAGGCTGGAAGACAACCTATTTGTGGCCATTTTACTGATAAATTGGAGTCTCTATTTGGGTCTCAAAGAGAACTAAAGACAAAAGCCTGTGGTTTCAGGATGACACTCTGGTAACCTAAAAGGCTAAATCGCAAAGGGGTCTTAAGGGCTGGGATGAAAAGTAGAACTTTTAAGCTCTTCCTTTGACCTTGGCCAAGGTTGTTCCCTCTAGCCTCACTTGTCCTGTTCATTCAATGGGAGAACCTCACTTAAGGCCCAGGGAACAAAAGAAAGGAACAGGTAGAAGTGCACCCCTCAACCTGGTGACCCTAGGCGGAGCTGAGCCTTAGACAGGCGGGGCCTTAGGAAGGGAGCGCAGAAAGTTGCCAGGTGGCTTGGCTGGCTGCGTTACGCTAAAGATGGGTTGCAACAGGGCGGGGTAGGGCGGCGGACCGAGGACCTAGATTTGCTTCTCCGGGCTCTGCGTCCGCTACGACAATCGGTCGCCTGCAGCCAAGGGTCTGCACGCCCCCTCCTTTTCTCAGACTTCTCTGGCCTCGACCCCCCTTCTCACACTCCCAACGCCCAAGGACAACTTGTCGCTCGCTTCAGAAGACCGGGGCTTTTCTCTGTTTCCCAGACTCTGCTTTCTCCCCTACTTCTTTTGTCTACTTCTACATTTGGCGGTTTCTCGAGGAAGCGTTCCTCCATCTGCTTCTGCTTCTCTCTCTTCTGCTCTCTCTCACCCCCCCCCCCCCCCCCCCCCAAACACCCACTCTTTCTCCCTCTCTCTCTCTCTCTTCTATCTGCTGGCCATCTCGGCGCCTTTTCTCCGGCTCTGGCCTTGCAAAAGCGCTCAAGGCCCTCTCTGGGAACCGCGGCGCGGTGATCCGATGGCGCCCCAGGGCGGGGGCAGGTGAGATAGGCGGAGCCCTGCCGGGGCGGACACGGAGGAAGGTGGCGTCCGCGCGAATCGGCCGCCCGGGCCCTGTCCTCCCCATCCACCCCCGGCTCGCCGGCGCCAGGGGAACAGAGGACGTATGAGTCCCTTCGCGCCCCTAGAGCTGTCGGCGCCGCCGCCGCCCCAGAGACCCTGGGCCAGAAGGCCTCACAGGGGCGGGGCGGGGGGCGGCGACCCGGAGCCGCCTAGCTCCTGGCCCCCGGCGCCGACCCCTCGGTCTCCAGGCTCCGTCGCGCCCAAAGCCCCAGGTCCCTGCAGGCGATGCAGACGCGCGGAGGACAGCGCGGATCGGAAAGGTAGGTGAGACACTCCCCGCCCTTCCTCTCGCCGCTGGGGACCGCGACCACACAGGGCAGAGGGGCGTGAAAGACCCCTCTGGGGCTGGGCAATTACCCGGCCGCACTCTAGGGACTGATCGGTAGAGACTGACGCCGGCCTCCAGTTAACCTTGAGGTGTGGACGGATCCAGCCTCCCCAGTGGGCGCCGGGCGCCCCCGCAACGCCTTGGCCTCCCCGCTTGCTCCCTTCGAACTCTCCCTTTCCAAGCGAAGATGTGTAAGAGGGCAGGGGGTCGCCTCCCATCCTTACCCCGCAACTCTGGCACGGTTATTCTTTCTGTATGGAAATTAGAAAGTGGCCTGGAACTCTAGGTCCAGATGGGAGCCCCAGGCCTCTTAAGGTACAGAATCCGCTCTTTCAGCTACCTGGCAGGGATGCGGGAGAATGCTTGAGGAGTCTCTTGCTTCTGATCACCTTTCCCGGCCGCACAGGGGCCTGGGTTTCTTTGCCCTCCAAACTGTTCTGGGGTTCCGGTGGCCTCCTGCCTGGAAGAGCCTAATTCTGAAGCTAAGGGCTGCCTGGCGCCGCCATCTTACTTGAAACTCACACCCACAAAAATGATGCCTATGCATTTTTGTAGCGGGGCCTGATGATAATGGGAGGGGACGGAAAGCAGGCAAAGGATCTCAATCTGTATGAACTGACACCCAGGTCAATATTCTCCTTTGAAAAGGCATAAAGGGGAACGCATGGTGGATATTGTGGGGTCTCTTAGAAATTAGTAACCCTCAGGAGTCAGTGAGGAATCCTGTATCAGGGCAGCCACATGGCTCCCAGTATTAAAGCACCATGTAGATAGTATTTATACAAATGTGCAAAAGGCACATGAAGGGATGAGCTCCCAATTGTGCTCAATAACAAATGTAGCAGGTGGGAAGTTCGTATTTTCACCTACATGCCCCACCTCTTCCCAAGTAGAGTGGGGCACAGTATATTTCATGTATTCTGCACATGCTAAACATGGAAACGTACGGCATAGAACTGTAATTTCCAGAATCAATGGAAGCACAAAGACCCATAATGGAGAGGATGTTTTCCCTCAGTGGAAATTTGCATTTCTCTGTATTTCCCTGAGCCTTGGAGGGAGTTCTGGGGCATTTTCTGATATGATCTTCCCTCTACATCCCCCTTTGGAGCTGCAATTCCTCCTTTTCCCCCCGGGTCTGGAGCACTAGGCTCCAAGTCTAGAGAGGCCTCCTCACTCCTGAGCCCAGAGGAGGTGAAGCCTCCTTCCACTCCCAGCCAAATCGCCCTGGGCTCTTCAGGAGGTGAGCTGCCGCCCTCTGCAGTAGTTTAGAACTACCACCCCAACACGTACATACACGTGCACAGGCCCCAGTAGAAATGCAAGGAAAGTCTTTACTACCCTCCCGGCAAGGCACGGAGGGAGACCTCAGAGGCCATGAAGGAGAGCTCCACACTCTTCCACACTGAGATCCAGACCTCCGCCCCCAGCAGATGGTTGGCAGTTCTGCCTTCCCACCAACTCGGAAGGCACTGGCCCATGACTGAAGCTTCTTTTAGGCTGGGAACTTAGTCTCTGACCAATCCTCATACCAAATTCTCTTCCTGGCTTAATTAAAGCAAAATCAGATTTCAAATGCTGTTGGCCCCAGCTGGCAGGTGGGCTGTTCACCAGGGGAGGTTAGATCATAGGACTGGTGGAGGTCCAGATCCCTCTCCTACCTGGCTGCCCCATTGGCTCCAGAGCCCCTCTGGGAATAAGTGAAAGGAAAAAAATCCCTGAAAACACCCAGATTTGTAGACACCCAGACCATCCAGAAAACAGTGGAGAAAATCTGCCTCCTTGGCTCACTTGCAATCTTCCAGTCTTCAGTCTGGCAATGTATGGATGGGCTCAGCTTGAGGTTTCAGATCTTGGGACCCAGAACTCAGAATTTAGGGAGCTTGACTGCAGGGTTTGGAGCCTTTCACTTCCTTTCCCCATGTACCCCACCCCTACCTTCTCCTCCCAGAGCTTCTTAGAAGGTGATAAGTGCTTTCTTACAGAACCATAAAATCCAACAACTTCAGAGAAGTTCAGACTCCTTGAATGTCAGACTCTAAGAAGTCCTGTTTGGGTTGATTTGAGGAGTTTGTGTCTGGAACACGCTGAGACCCACATAATGGTCGTTAATGTTGGTCCTCATTTTTTTCCGTCTAGTTGATACTTCAGTGCTTCCCAAGTCAACTGCCACCTGTCACAGCACCCAGGCACACACTCTTCCTCTCCCCATTTCTGTCGGTAAAGCAAAGGGCAAAAGCTACTTGAGCCTGAAAGTTGGATCCAAATCTCAATTCCTTCTTCCTGTGGAAGATGCTGGAATGGCCACCCCTTTGCCCACTTTCTGTCCATCCCCTACCCTTTTCAGGCCACCCCCACCCCCTCAGCCTCAACTATAGGAACACCAGACTTTACCTTGCAGGGATAATTAAGGACAAAGCACCGCTCCAGTACTGCCCTTTGCACATCTTGGGGTGTCTCTTAGTTACCTCCTTCTTGCTCTCCCCTTTCAAGTACTCCAGGGCTGCTGTTCAAGGCTGAATCTCGGCTGGAGTAGAGGCAAGAAGGGCTTAGTGCGAAATAACCTGGATATTAATAATAAGAAAAATAACTATGAACTCTATAGCCTCCACCATCAACAAAATTTCTCCTTACAACTGTGGCCAAGGCCTCGGCACAGCCCTGATTCCCAAGGACTGGTCAGAATGCCCAAAATTGTTTTATGGGGAGAGAAGCCAATATCCAGAGACCTCATCCTTCCAAACAATAAAGAGACAGGGTCTACTTTCTACTCGTTAAACCTCTTACCTCTTCCTCAGTCCGTTTTCTCCTTGGTCCCCGGGACCAGGCTCCTGGGCTCTAAGGTGAACCGGGGGGAATGAAGCTCCTTCTGAGAGCTGAGATGTCCCCTGCCTTGAGGCTCCTGAGAGACACCGTGTCATTGCAGGGGGACCAGGTCGCCGTGGGGATTGGGATGGTCGTCCCAGCATGGCGAGGGGTTGAGACCGCTGTGCCCCTTGGTCGCCGACTGCAGACATGCTTGGGACTGCACAGAACGTACCCACCCAAATCCTATCTGGAGTCCCCTTGCGCCGAGGGCTCCTGGCAGGGCGCCGCTGGGGACCAGCAAGCACCTCCAGGCTGGGCGCGGAGTGATCTCAGCAAGAGCCGCTGGTCGGCTCCAGGACTGCCTCCTCCTTGCAGGCAGGAGGAAGGGAAGGTCGCCTGGCAGCGAGGCGGCCGAGCAGAGCCGTAGAGTTGCCGTCCGGAAGAGGGTCAGGGGCACCCTGAGACTCCGCGTGCCTCCAGCCCCATCCGCTGACTGCCCAGCCGCAGGTTGGCGACGCAGGGGTGGAATCTGGAAGTCTGGGAGGGCCCAGCTCCAGTCCCGGGCCTCCAGAGGCGGGAGCCTGGCAAAGGGATTAGAAAGGAGGCTTTCAAATCCGGCCCAGGCGTCCGGAAGCGACAATTAAGGGACGAAGAGAGGCTGCGGTTACACAGGTGCTCCCTCGGACGCCGCAACGCCAAGGGCCTGTGAACTCACAACCTCTTCTGTCTAATGGGAGGAGATGGGGCCCCTCGTCCAGCCACTGCCGCGGGGAACAGCTGTAAACGCTGACCCAGCTCCTCACTCCAAGCGGCATCCGGGCGCCCTTTCCTAGTGAGCATCTTCTCCCCGCTGTCCTGCTACGAGAGGAACTGGTCCTGGTCTCTGGGTCTCAGCGCCAGGCTACCCCTCACGAACAGTTCCTCGGCTCCCTGCGGGCCACCGGCACCAGCACCGCTTGCCCTGAATTTCTCCTCCCCGTTTGCGCCCTTCCTCCCTACAATTAGCAAACGATTTAGCGCAACCCGCCTGGTCCCGGCGGAACGGCACCTCCATCCTCCAGAACCGGCTAATTAATCAGAGAGCCTTTAAGAGACGCAAGAGTTGTAAATGGGCAGTTTGGAAGGAGGGGGCGCTGACGAGGTCATTAACCTCCCAGTAAAGATGGGAAATGGAGACGCGGCTGGCTGCCTCGGCGGCCCCTGTGGGTCCTTCTCGGCATGCGGGTTTGGGCTGTTCCACCTGCTCGCCGCGCTCCAGCTCCCATCTCCTGTCGGGCTGTTTCACTTCACTTTTGTCATTCTTCTCTCTGGCGGCGGCGGCCTTAGAGGGCCCCTTTCTTTGCGTCTGCTTCTGTCTACCTGTCCAGCCGTTTCTCGCGCCCTTTTCCGCGCCCAGCCCGGAGCCAAGAGAACTTTAAGGTTTTGGCGAGCAGCTCTGGCTGGCCGTCTCGGCTCCCCAGCTTTAAATGCAGTACCACAGGCCTGGCTGAAGCTGAAGGAGCTAGAGATCAGGAACTATTTCCCATCCCCCGTTCCCCAAGAGCGGAAAGGAATTTGTGAAGGGAAAACTGATCCTGAAACTTTCGTTCTTTTTCGGTGTGGACCAACTCAGGACAAGGTGGCAAATGACTGGGAAAGATCCAGGCCCCAGTGGAGGAGAGGCCCATATTCATTTTGATTAGAGATACAGACACCTTGCATGTGCTTTCTGCTCGTGGGCAAGGGTGCAGAAGATCCAAACTAGTCATCGTGGGCCAGCTTTCAGTCCTGGAGTCCTCAGCACCTGCGAGCAGGGGTCTTGTTCTGGAGAAAGCCAGATGACAGTATCTACCACCTTGTGGCATACACAGTCGTTTGTCCTCTCCTTTATCTTGTCAGAGATCTATTTTGCTGCTCCTTAAGCATCATGTTTGTGGCATTTGTATGTGAATGGTGGATGAAAGTTTCTTTACATTTTTTGGGGGTCATTCATTGGTACTTTAAAGTCTGATGAAAGCTATTGATTCCCTCCTGCCCAGGGGGATAAATGCACTTCTATAGTACTCACCAAATCCCACAATTTCAGAGGGTTTCAGACCCTTTGAACACCAGATTAAGAACTTCTATTTGTATTGATCAAAGAAGCTGATGTGTGGAAAATGCTGAGACCAAATATGGTCAGTGAATATAGGTCTTCAGTTTTTATCCTGTGGCTGATATCTTGGTGTTTGCTAGGTCAACCTTCATCTTTAAAAACACCCATGCAGGAGTATTCCTCTCTCCACTACTGGTAGGGTCTGGGTTTCCAATGGGAGTCGATCCTTCCTTCCTTCCCGGGATAGGGGGCTCCAGGAAGTGGGAAGAGATTTGCTGGGGAAAGTTGATCTTGGAGTGGTCAGGGGTGGGACCAGCTGCTGGAGGAAGTCAAGCTTGGGCAGCCTTCCGGGGAATAAAAAAAATACTGGAACTCCTGGGAAAGGAAGGTTATCTGGCAACAACCCCTTAGATAATGCTGTCTGTGAACCAAGCAAATAGGGATCTGGTAATAGAATGTTCTTTTGTGTCCCTTACTGTTCTACCTATTTAGTTTCCTCAGAGACTCCAACTTTTTGTGAAGCTAAACGCTTAGCCAAGGTTAAAGGCTGGAACTCTGGGCTAAATGGGAAAGAATTTGCTCCCAAATCCTTTAAAAAAGTTTTTGTAATCATGTTAGTAGGAACCAAACAGCAGGTAGCCCTTGACAGGCCTGGGAGTCAAGCTTCCCCAGCCTCATGTATTGTGGCTTATTTGGACTTAACCCTTCTTCCACAGCCTAGTAATAGCTTGCTGGCCTCTCCAGTCTCCTAAAGCTGGATCTCTCAGAGGAAAAATTAGGTTTCTTTTGAGTCTGGGAAGTGAAAAACTTCCTTCTAGGACTATGTTCAGACAAACTAAGGGGACTGGAAATTATCTGGTTTATTGCATCCTCCCCCTACACACATACAAACTCTAAACTTAATGCCTCCTGGCTGGTCCTCAATTACCTCCACATTCCAAACAAATGTGATGGGGCAGAAAAGACCCTAATCCATTCCTGGTTGCCCCTCTCTGAGCTGACATAACCACCACCTATCAGGTTCAGCAGTTCTGGGCTGTAACAAGCCAATGGTTGGCTAATAGTATTCAGACCCCTGCCTGAAAAGAAAAAACAAACAATTTTCTGCTTGGGACAACTTAAACTGAATAATTCTGGCTGTGAACACCTGACCCAAATGCTTTTAATCAGAGCAGAAGAAATATATGCCCATTTGTTCCGTACTTTACTAATTAAAAAAAGCTAATTGGTGTTCTTGGGAACTTCCGACTGAGGGTCAGGAGCCTCTAGTCATCTTTTCAGCCCTTCTGGCTCCTCTTCCCCCACCCTTCCCCCACAAGGCCATCCCCACCGTGGAGTTGGCCTCTTTCTGACAGACAATGGGAGGGGGGAGTCATCAGACCATTTAGCTCCGCCCCTGCACCAGGACTTTGGCCCTGAAAAGGCAAGGCTGTCATTGGCCAGAAGTTCGTGCTCAGCAGGGCTGTCCCCCTTCCTCAGTCCCTAGACTAGTTTCTGGAGCAGAGACCTCTCATTGGCTGCAAGTCAGCACTGCTAACTGGTAGGGCTCCGCTCCTACTGGGGCTCCAGAGCTCGGCCCAGTGCTGAGCACACAGTAGGTGCTCAGGAAATGTTTGTCGAATGTGGAATGAAAGTTCCCACTAGATAAAAATCTGTGGCTTGTTTGGGGACTTTCTGAGGCTGGAGCATGGAGTGCTCCAAGGCCTCTGACTACCCAGGAAATGAGCAAGACATGTTTTTTACCAAGCATCTCTCACATGTTCTGTTTTAATTCCAGCTTTCTGGACCTCCCCTCTTTCTTTTCTACCCATTCTGAGGCAGGATCTTGCTCACTCCAGCAAAAGGAAAAGGCTCACTGAGAAACTGAATAAGAATATGCCACCACTCCCCAGACCTTTCCCGACCAGATCCAGATATTTCAGGCTAAAAGTAGTTTGAACCTGAAATGAGCCAGGTAATTGCCACAATTCTGTTCCTTATTGAAGATGTAGTTATAGGCCAAGGGGTTCAAGGGGCCTCACTTTTATGGATATTGCTCTAAGTCAAAAGAATACATTATACACACACAGGCTGAGATGTACACCCTCCAACCTAGACTGGTTCTTTGAGAACAAAGCAGGCTTCTTCCTTCCCCTTTCCCTCCTCCTCCTTCACCTCTTCTCCTCCTTGTTATTAACAGTTACTACTTACTAAATGCTCCCTGTTCACCAGACCCTGTACTAAATCCTGGACGCACTGTACCTTAATTAATCCTTACAACAACCCTAAGAGTTAAGACATCCAGATTTTGCAGATGCAGAAACTGAGTTACTTTTCTGAGCATGAAGCCTGTGTGTGTAATAATGTGATACTGGCGAATCTGAATGCTCTACTGGTATAATGGGGATGGAAAGAAAATTGACAATGAAAAGATCTTAAAGTTGTTGAAATATGTAATGTTTGAATAGAATGCAGATAGTTTTTCCTGCCCTAAAGTGAACAAAAAAGTGATGCAATTAACTGGCTAATTCCGAGCCCCAAATGCTTTCCCTTGAAATGAGTGGATAATGAGGCCAACAGTATGTTCCTAGTTGAATTCGCCTGATGTTGCTCCATTTTCCCCCCTAACTTTTGTGAATCGATTGGGCAATCACAGTGAGATGCACAGACGCCTCCTGGACGCACACGCACTCACACACACAAGAATGCTGACACACACAGACCCAAATATCCTGCCTCCAGAGTCTTTTATGACTCAGCCTCTGAAATGAAAATAGGGCTTGTAGTGGAATAATGTGCCTGAGGCCAGCTAGGGCGCAGCTGCTCCAGATGTCCGCTAGGTAATTAGGAGTCCGCAGCCCCTGCCTGGCTGGGAACGGCGGGGCTCCGGGCCACGGACCTGGGCAGATGTCACCCCCATGCTCTGCACCACTGTAGGTCCCTGCCCTTTGCTGCCCCGGCCCGGTGGTGGCTTCGCCCTTCTCCTTCCCTTCTTTTCCTACTGGGGATTCTCCAGGACCTCTGTCCTAAGAAATGTCTGGCAGTGGACTCTGCAGTATAAATGGGGTCTCTACTTTGGGGGAAGGGGAAAAGCAGTCCCAGTTTCTCCTATTCCTTGTGTCTCAGATTCTGGACATCTCTGAGCTCAGGCTCAGTGGGGCTGGGTCCTGAACCAGGCTTCTTTTTCCCTACCTCCACACTCCTATAGCTGAATAGACCCCATTCAGGCCAAGGAAAGTGACCTGACTGCCTGCCCTGAACTTCCTTTTCTTTTGGGTTTGTGGGACAGGCCTGTATCCGACACCTTCTCTTGGTTATCAGGGCCTCTTTTACAAGGTGTTCAAGCCTCACAACATCCCCCTCCAATATTGGTCATTTTCATCCAGGTCTTTGAGAACCTGAGGCACTTGCCCATGATAGGTCACACACAGCTAGGGAGGTGGCAAGTGCCTACCTGGTCGTGTCCTGGGAGAGAGGCAGCAGGATTTGTCTGACTCCTGATCTTAGCTGATTTGCTCCTATATCACTTCCAATTCCCTTATATGCTCCTCCAACTCCTAAATCCAGAAAACCCTAAACTTCCAGCATAGACAACCCCTAATGTCTAACTTTCTAGAAATGAATTTTGCTTACAAGAAAGACACTTTTTGTGGGGTCATCATAATTTGGGGTAAAAACATTCATTCAGAGCAGAGGACCTGTGGGCCCCTAGGGTGGAGTGGGGGTGGGGTGACAGTGGGGTGGCTAATAACAGTTTGAATGGTGTGGAAGCTGCCTGAGGCAAATCCTGATAAGAGGGGTGACTGCCAGTAGCTGCCATCACAATGTTTTTTTAAATAAAAATATAGCATGGTAAAGAGCGAAATGAAGGAGTTCTGGGCACCTCCAGCTCTGTTTCACCACTTATCACAGCCTCTCTGATCTTGGGTTAACCACTTAATTTCTTCAGGCCGCAGTCTTCTTTTGCCAGCTGCGTGTGTGTCTGTGTGTATGGCGGGGTGGCGGTCAAGACTCCGGCGCTGCCCTTGAGCTGGCTTCTGAAGAGCTCAAAGGAGATCTGGGCTGTGGGAGGCTCCCTAGAGTTGGGGATTGGGGTGGGGTTTGGGGTGGGGTGGGGTGAAGAGCGGTTGGAGCCCTGAGTAGCCTCCATTCGTTTCTCAAACCTCACTCATTTTACCGTGTGTCTCTTGGTTGACAGAGGGCGCCAAAGGCGACGCGCCGGCCGGCAACTCCAGTGCCAAGCCCAGTGAGTCTGCAAGAACCGGTCGCTTCACCGGGCGCGGGACGCAGAGCTGTGCGAGGATCTCGTTCAGCGGGAACTCAACGCCAGGGCGCCGCCTAGAGGTCGGCCGCAGCCTCAGCCTCACCCGCCTGCAACCAGAGCCGCTTCCCCAGCGGAGGCCAGAAAATGGGCGGGGGATATCCAGCCTGGGTCTCAGGCGCGGTTTGTGGCACCTCTAACTTATCTGAGACTCCCTCCACCCTCAATAATGAACCCTAGGAAGTAAGACGAGCCAGGAAGGTAGAAACATTTATTCTCGAGACTCACTAAACGAAGGGGGTGTCATTGTTACCCTCTTTGAGGATCTTGTGTTCCGCATGTGTCTATTCTGCCTCCTCTCACCACCCAAGTTGTCCAGCCCCGACCAACTATGCTAGAATTCTGCTTTAACTTCAAGGAGGGAAGGGAATAGGGAAAAGTTTTCCTAAATCTTACAGTATGGTCATCTGCATTTTCAATTTTCTGAATAATTTGGTGATCAACATACTTTGGGAATGTATTCAGAAAATGCTTGATGGTGAAAAGAAACATTGCCTAAATGGCTTCTATTCACTAAGTGACAGTCAGCTCAAACAGGGTATGAGTGACATTCAGGAGGGTGCTTGTTGACACCAGCGCCCCTGTCGGTGGTTGTCTGTGCTGAGTATTTGGAAATTAACTCCTCTGGGGCCAGATGACCTCAGAAAAAGAAGGCTGGTTGGCATCTTTAGGAATGTGTTTGATGTGTCATTCAGTCCCATGAAGATAGTTTAATTTTTAAAACTGGGCTTCATGGCCTGGGTTCTGGGGATAGGGTAGGTGGAAGAAAAACTTGTGTGTGCACGGTACATCATTCTAAGCCTGTGCTTCCAGGTACTCTAGGGTCTAGTACTTTAAAACGAATTCAGTCCCCTTTCCTCAGCCCAGGAAGCAATGGAGAACCAGATCAGCAATGAGCAGGGAGCCAGCACACTGACCTGTCCCCATGGCAGGCCCATAGAGTGGGGAAGGGGGCAGTAATAACAGTCTTGAATGGTGTGGAAACTGCTGGCCCCCTAGTCCTGCCCACCGCCCATTGCTAACAGCTCTCAGAAACAAATCTTGATAGAAGGGGTGACTGCCAGTGGCTGCCATCACAGTATTTTTAATAAAAATATATCACAACAAAGAGCAAAATGAAGGAGTTAGGGCACATAATGAGAAGGGGAGCCAGAGCTCCCTCCACCCCCCACCATGCATATCTTGGAATGAAGTTGGGATGGAAACAAGCTACTTCCTGTCCTCTAGCTGTGAACAGCTCCCCCCTCCTCCTTCTTGGTAAAAAAAAGGGACAGAGGGCACTGCCCCCACTCTCCACTGGCTGGGGGCAGAGTGGTTCTGCTTGCCGCAGAGTTAGTCTTACAGAAAATTTGGAAACTGTAGACTAGCTAAGTATTTTCCCTGCACATTCCATTTTTTATCAATTTTTTAAAATCTCCAGCAGTGTTTAGGTGCCCTTTCTTGGGGGTGAGGGAGGAGGCATGGAGTTGCCGTGGCATAGCATCACACCTGTGTGTGTTTGTGGAAGGAGGGTGCTGTTAGTGCACCAATCCCCCAGCTGGGTCTGCAGCTGGGCCTCAGTCCTGTCCCAGGCCCTGCCTGAACCTGAGCACATCTTAGCCCTCCAGGGCCTCTGTGACCTGAATTCTTGTGTGTGTGTGTGGTGTGTGTGTGTGTAACTGAGCATGATTGAATTCCTTTGCTCTCCCACCCAGAAGTGCACCCAACCAGGCCCCTCCAGCAGACAGTAAGCAGGAATTTAATAACTTCACTCCCAGCTATCTGGAGCCCAAAACCAAAAGATTTTTTTTAGTTTTGGTTCACAATGGCCTAATAACAATTCCAAACCTGGATTCCACAGAGTTTTGTGAAATCCAGTGGTCCAGAACAGGAATAAAAATATATGGAGAGGGTAGTGGAGGTCCGGGTAATTGTTGTTTTTATGTGATTTTGAGGCTTTTAAGGAGCAGGAGAGGAGACGGTGGCAGAGCTCGAGACGCCAATTCAGACACTACTCAGCGCTGGCCAGAACTTCCACTGTGGCGAAGCCCGGCCCCTCAATTTCTCCTCTGGGAGCCCCTGCCCCGCTCAGCCCCCCTTGGGTCTGCTGACCCCTCTCCCTTCCCTCAAGTACCTGGCAATAAAGGGGCGGGGCAGGGCAAAGGTCTGGCCGCTACGGATGAAAAAAAAAAAACCCGCTTTCAGCGGAAAGATGCAAGACTGGAGGCCATAGGGCGTGGTTGGCGGGGCCGAGCTTTAGCCGGGAAGGACCAGGGCGCCCAGCTCCGCTTTGACCACGAGCTGGGAGCCGAGCCCCAGGCTGTGCGCGTGGCGCGGGAATTCAGCTTCGCCGGTGTCTTCCCGTCCTGGCCGTGGGCCGCCGGGCCGCCGCGCGCGCGGGTGCGCGAGGGCGACTCCTTCGGGAGAAGAGGCCCCGGCGGCGGGCTCCGCCGACGCAAAGTCCCGAGGGCCGAGGCTACTTCTCTCCACGCGGGCACAGTCTGCTCCCGCAAAAGGAAAGGCCGAGGCGGATGCTTGCGCGGCTCGTAAATTTGTTCCCCCTTCCTTTTAACCCGGCCCCGGCCGTCTTTCTTTTCAGGACAGGAGGGGATGTAAACCATTTGAAGTTCATCAACACGGTGAAGTTTTATTGTATTCCCGGTCCCCAAGATTTATACCCGGGAGGGGAGTAGAGGCCGGGCAGGCTCCTTCGCTCCCTCGGACTTCCCCGTCGGACACGTGGCCACGCGGCGCTCGCCTACGGGGCGAGGGCGGGAGGGAGCCGGGCAGGGCAGGGACGGGACCGCTTGCTCCGCAGCGCCCGCACCGCCCGCGCCGTCCGACGGCTGCTCCCGCCGCCGCCGCCGCCGCCGCCCAGGTAAGTCGGCCGCCGCGCGGCACCTGGGAGTGGCGGGTGTCTGGCGGGGTAGAGGTGGCAGTCGGGGACCTTGGTGGCCGGCTGGGAGCTGAGGTCCCAGACGGATGGTCCCGAAGGAAGAGGCAGCCTTGTTCTCTGCACCCCAGTCCGAGTCCTCATCCTCCCGGCTTCATTTGTGAATTCGGAATGGATTGTCTTGCCTGGGACAGCTCAGTCTTTGGGGTCCCGGCAATTTCAAGCAGGGTGGAAATTTCATTTCAATCCGCTGTCCCTTCCAGTCATTTTCTGTTTGCTCTTCCAGCTCCCAAATACTTCCTCCTGGCTCAGCTGCTCCTTCTGCCTCTGCCACAGTCACTTGCTCAGTACTCCTCTCCACCTCCCGTCTCTATCCCAGTCGCAGAGCTGGTTTGGTGCAGAACTTGAAGATTGGGCCTCTCAGAGCTACCCTGTGTGACCCAGGAATCTAGGCCCTAGACCTGTGGTGTGTGTAGACGCACCTTGATAACAGTTTGAAGCTGAAGAATCTTTTTCTCTGTGAAGACATCCAGCCGGAGAGCCAGAGGCTGAGAGGGGGTGACCTGGGGCTGTGCCTTGAGTCCCCTGCAGCCGGAGCTCCTGGGAAAGAGCAAAAGTTCTGGAGTCTGAGCTGCTAGGACAAGCTCCAGGGTGGTTCTGCCTGGAGACGTCCTCAGGGTCTTTGGAAGCATTATTTACTGGCAGCAGGGTTCTGTTGGGGAAGAAGTGAAGGAAAATGAAGTTAACTGGCCAGTTGTTTGGGCCCCAGAAATGGCTGCAAGGGCCTGCCCTCAGCAAGCCCTTGACCTGGAACTGCTGAGTGAATCAGGTAGTTTCATGTCGTTGGGCCTGGATTTCTGAACACAACGACATTAAACCACCCGGCTCACTGCAGTTACTGCTCCCTGCCTAGCTGGAGGAGTGTGTTGTGGGTGCGTGGGAGGAGGAGTGAAGCAGAGCCAGGACTAGTGATCACACTTGCACAACGGTAAACAGGTTCTCCAGAGAACAGGTCTGGGAAGTTCTAAGCTGTCTTCCCACTTCTGTATTTTATTTTACTTTTTAGTGTGTGTTGGGAGGGAAAGGGGGAACAGGGAACATTCTGTTAAGGGTGGTAGCTGGAACTTCAAGCTTCCTGCTTTGGGGTCTTGGGCTCCTGTCTAGTTTCAGGCTTTCCAAAAAATAGTCTTCCCAACTCAGCAAATGTTTGCTTTCAACAGACACAGGGGGTCTTTGCGTTCTCTGTAAACCTTTGGAGGGGTCTCAACCTCAACAAGAATCTTGAAGAGGACTCAGTATGTCCGTTCTGAAAGGGAAACATCAGGACCCCTTGCACTCTAGCCTACAGGCCCCCCAGTGGGGCAGAGCACAGTCCAAAAAATCCCAATCTCTCATCTGGCTCTTTCCTCACCAAGTGGCCAAGGCTTCCCCATGGACCCTTGGTCTGGCCTACGGGTTTACATAGGTCCTGAGGGTCACCTCCTGAGAGAGAGGCCTTCTGTGGAGGCTGCTGGGGAATCCAGGCTGATGGGCAGTTAGTTCATTTCAGATTGACGGAGTGACAGGAGATGGAGCAGGGGGGTGGGCAAGGCAAAGCTGTGATACCCTCTTTGAACCTAGCCCTCTCCAGGCTGCTGGCTCTCTGCCCAGGAAAGGAGTAACTAGAAGTGGTGGCAGAGGGAGGGGGATGCCCAAAGCATAAGCTAACTTTTGTTCCCAAACTTTACCCCCCCACCCCACGCCCCTGCTTGAAGCAGAGGAAATGTAGAAAGGGGCTGGGGAAAAAGGCCGACAGGATGGGGCTCTGGCGCCAGGCTGACTTGGAGGGCTAGGGGCATCTCTGAACAAGAGGCCTCTGCTAGGGTGGAGGGGCTCTTGGGAGACCCACCCCCAGCCCAGGGGAGACACAGCTTTCAACCCACTATCCTGGTGAGCAAAGGCCAACAACAGTGTCCTTCGGCAGTCTCTTGTCCTCTGGCCTGGGTGACGGTGGTCTGCAGTGTCCCGCTGCCTTACCTTACATCTCCCTGGGCCTCTCACAAACCTGCTCAGCCACTTGGAGCCTGACTGCCTTCCATCCCTGGTGTCCTTTGGCCACCCCCTCCCAGGAACAGCACTGTAAAAAGAAAAAAGGGGGATGTTAGCAAGGAGGAAATAAAGTCTTTGGAAAGCAGAGAGTTTTACAACAGCCCCAGATTTTATGGAAGCAATTCCGTAATAACCTTTTACCTGCTCAGCTCCTTTCCAGCCCGCCTGCCACCCACCCCGTTTGGCCTCTTGGATGCCACCTCCCCATCAGCCACCCCTACCACCTTCCATATCCCTAATGGCTGAAAGTTGGTCAGAAGATTCCTGAGGTCTACTTCGGCCACTGACCTCTCCGTCCTTCCTTTTACCTCTTACATCTTGAGAAGGAGGTTTGGCAGAATATTTCGTTACTTTACAATTAAAATCCCCACTGGGAAGGTGTGGAGGTACTGAAGTTTGAACCAATGTGTGCAGATTCGATGTGATGTGTTTTAGAGGCTGTTTTGTATAAGGAGTGAAGCTTCTCAGGACCTTAATTCCCTACCCCCCAGCCCTGGAGTAAGTGTCCCCACATCTCATTTTTTCCCAGAGTGGGTCTGAAGCCTGATCCTGGGTCAAAAGAAATATCTCCAGGTGCTTAGGGACACAGACTAGGGGACATTTCTAATTTCGTTGTAAACAGCTTCTTTTGTATGACCTCCAAAGTTACCTGAGGGCTTTCACATTCAACTCATCTCTGCCCACTGGTCAGATTCACACTTGTGCAGGACACACTTGTGCATAAGCTATGATGCCTTCATTCCAGTGCCCATGAATACCATGAGATAAACCTCACACGATGCACGCTGTCCGTGCAGTTTTGGGTAAGATACATAGTAAAGGATTTCATGGTCCGAGAAAAAAGTCACAAAACTTCATGACTTCCCCTGGGTCACATTAAGGCATTTCCTTCACCTTCCAGAGAACTATTTTTAAAGGAAGTTGTAAAAGAATTCAGATTTAAGTCACATGCTTTTGTTTGAGGATAAGGTTCATATTTTGCTGGAATATCAAGTCAACACAAAGATTTTCAAGTGAAGCTTCTGAATCAGCTAATGTTTTATAGCCACAATTCAAGTACACGAACACTCAAGTTTTTGGCCTTTTCATAGATGTGTGATGGCTATAAAAATTTACACACAATCTTTTAGGTCATAGATCTTCTTATATGAGCAAACTCATAAACCCACATCACTCGCAGGGGTTATACATGTATCCACATATACACCATTTGATCTTATATATAAATGCCCTAGCACATCCAGTATTAAAGTTGGTCAGATTTACTCGTTACATGTTCTATACACAGCATAGAGCACAGCACATTTGCACACTGGTTTTCCATAAATATTGATTTGAAATACAGCGTGCATAAATTTCAGCTTAGCTTACAATTAAAAACAATCTTTTTCTCTTTACCCACGTACTGTTTTTCTTCTTGTTGCTTCTCTCTTTCATTTCCTTCCCTCCATCTAGATTTTCTTTCTCTTCTTATTGACAAGGACCCTTCCAAAGGCTGCCCCTGAAGCACGGGCACTCACCGGTGAGTCCTGGTCAGGGTCGGCCTCTGCTCTGCCCACCTTAGGCTCACTCTGGGCCCCAGTGTGGCCAGGGGCTGCAGCTTTTTTCTGCCTGTTCTTTCCCGAGCTACCAGCCACTGGCCCCAGCTGTGTTCATGTGCTGCTCGAGTGCAGGGAATGGCTAGAGGCTGTGAGGGAAGGCAGTATTTTCCTTCTTTCTCTTTAGGATCAGGGTGGGGTGGGATGGGGGGCAGTTTGCTCTTTCAGGACAAAGTAACTCCCACTCAAGCAATCCCTCTTTTAAGCATCTTTAGAAGCGGGTTCCAGGGGCCAGAATGCTGTTTGTCTCCCTCTGTCACGGTGCGCACCATTGTCTGGAAGAGAAAACAAGGTTCGGGGGTCCACAGGCCTGCAGAGGGACATCTGAAGAAGGGTCTCCCTCTCAGCCACCCCTTTAATAATTTGTCTGAGCTGGAATTGAGCTCCAGTTTGGGGTGGCAATGCTTTCTAGAAAGCCTGGCTGGGAGGGACTCATTGCTTGGTGCACCCACATCCCCACCTGCACGGATATGAGCTGGGGTGAAAACCCCAGGGCTTGAGTGCTGTTTAATTCTCTTTCTTACAGTCATCTCTCCTAAGAAGACTGAGGCCTCTGAAACCTGTCACATTTTGAAATTGTTCCCACCCGTCAGCATTGTGAGCCAAGGCTAAACTCTGGTCTCAGAAGAGGCCTATCCCCTCCTTACCAAAGCACCCAGTTGCCACAAGGGGTGATGGGCAACTCTCTAGATAGATATCAACCCACAAACCTGAGCCCTGTCTGCCGGTACACTCCACCCTTGCAGGGCACAGGCCACGAGCCCAAATGTTCTTCTTTAACTTCTTCCCTAAACTAGTGGCCCTCTTGACTTCCCTCTTGTTGCAGAGAGACAGTGGCGAAGCCAGGGTTGGGAATCAGAACCCAGTGCCTGCAGCCTGGGTCTTAAGAACAGTCAAGCTGCTGTGACTTTTCCATAAATAAAATGTCCCTTCCCACAGGCCACATGTCCTTTTGGGCCCTAATTTATATACTACAGAAAGTCATATACTCAGCCCGCCATGCTTCACAACACTGTTATTTATGGCGGGAGAGGAGGTTTTTTTTATCCTGAACAATATATTTATTACAGGTAAAGCCAACCACAAACTCCATACGTCTGGCCAATCGAGAACAGGTGCTTTCCCTTAACTGTGATTCATTCACTCTGTGCCCAGCTTTCTTGTGGAGTCCAGGGAGTGCCCTCCACTTTCCCAGGCGTCCAACAGCTACTTAGAAGAATTTGCATTGGATTTTTGTTTCCCCACTTGGGTCCCATGGAAAAAGCAGATCTTCATGCTGTTTGGTTCCGGATCTGCTGGGCTGCCGCCCTCAGAGAGCTGGGGCGGAAAAGGAGGGGCAGGTTGGGCTCCAGCATTGATCTTTAAAAAATCATTTTGAAATCGCCATAATGTGAAGAAATATGGCGCTTTGCCCTCGTATTTCACATAAAATGACATGAGATGGCTTCATTTGGAAAGAAAAGCGGGCGGGAGTGTGCCTGTGTGTGTGCGCACGCGAAGGTGATCCGCTGCCTTCTGCACGGCAGAGGGGTACATGGCCAAAAGGCTAAAACCTCAAATTAGAATGGCTCTGCTTTTGTTAAAAGGACCGGAGCTGGGGGCAGCCTGTCTTGGAAGGGTGCAGGGTCGGAGAATGCGGAGAAATCCACCCCAGCCTCTCTCTCAACCAAACCCGAGGAGAATCGGGTCTGGCCAGGGCCGTGCCTCCCTGAGCGCCTGAACCTCCAGGAGCGACCGCGCCCGGGGCAGGAGGTGGAGGAGGTAGGGCTGGGAGACCAGCCAGGAAGCCAGCCGGTGGCCCTGGGGGAGTCCCAGCGCAGGGCCGCATAGCAGATACCAATAAAAAGGGCTATCTGGAGCTGCAGTGAGAGAGGCCGCAGGAGGGAAGGCGGTGGGTGGGCGGGAGGCTGATCCCGCGGGCTCTCTGTCAGCGCTGGTGCCCAGGACGGGCATTTGGAAATCTTTCAGAGCCGCAGTGCTGGGTGAGAGGAGCGGGACAGGCAGGAGAGGCAAAAACTCAGATGGGGTCCTTCCTTACAGGATGGGAGAGGGGATAACACAGGACTCCTCCGCACACCTATGCTCTGCTGACCCATCAGGGAAGTTCCCTTAACACGGTCTCATTTTCAGGTCCCCCATCTAGCAATTTTAGGGGCCTGGGCTGTTTCTCAGTGGAGAAAGGAGAAATGACTCTGTCGTCCCTCACACCCCCTCCCCGACACCCGGCCCCGGAAACTTCCCTCTGACCAGAGCCAGAGAAAGGCCCAAGAAATCTGAAGGAGCTTTGGCTGGCTGTTAAACTCTTCCAGGGAGTCAACTTTCTGAGGCCTGATGGATCCCTTTAACCTCATGCAGGTTCACATTTTTAGGACAGGACCCTTGGACACTAACCCCTTTCAACCCCCTCCCTCCTCCCTCAATTGCTGAGAAGCTCCCAGGCCTGTGAACCTCCCAATGGCCACAGGGAGCCCCCTCAAGAGCCGATAATGCCCTGGAAAATCCCCAACTTCTTCCCGATCCCCTTCACTTCATCTCCAGCGAATTGCGGCTGCGCTGTTTTATAACATCTGTGTTAGGGGGACAGGGACAGGAAACGGGGCCTGGGGGGTGAAGTGGAGCTGTGTTTGTGGAGGGGGCAGGACCACCTCTTCTTTAATTATGCCGTGGGCCTCTCTGGCCGCTCCCCAAACTGGGGCTCCCTCCCTCCCTCTGCCTTCTCTCCCTCTCTCCCTCCTGGACCCGCCTGGGGAGAGGGCTCCACAGCCCGCGTCCCTCCCGAGGCAGCCCGCTGCTTTCCCTCCGCCTCTTCTCCGCCCCCGCCGCCCCATGTCGAGAACCACCCCCCTTCCTGCAAAGGGGGGGCAGGCGGCCGGCAGCTCGGGCTGAGGTTACGTGGCCGCCGGAGCCCTGACGTGCACAGCACATTGCATCAGCATAAAACAATCCATCCTCGATATGGAATGCGGTGCGGACGGATGACAGCGAGAGCGCAGCCCCCTCGCCCGATTGATTTATGTCGGAGCTGACGCTTTATCAGGCAGTCGGAAAAACTTTGACCAATCATTTTGCAAGGAACGCTGAGCCAGGCTGCTCCACTGTACTTTGTTGGCTGAGAAGTTGAACAGGGGGTGGGGGTGGAAGGGTGGGGGGCTGGGGGGGTCGCGTCCGAAAGCCCTCACACCGGTCTGGGTGCCACCTCTCCCTGCTTGGGCGCCGCCGAGCGAGCGCTTCCCTTCCCCCTGCGAGCGCCCGGATAATGTCTGAGAATGTCCATTTCTGGGACGCTTAGCAGCTATTATGTCGACTCGATCATAAGTCACGAGAGTGAGGACGCGCCTCCAGCCAAGTTTCCTTCCGGCCAGTACGCGAGCCCCCGGCAGCCGGGCCACGCGGAGCACCTGGAGTTCCCCTCGTGCAGCTTCCAGCCCAAAGCGCCGGTGTTCGGCGCCTCCTGGGCGCCGCTGAGCCCGCACGCGTCCGGGAGCCTGCCGTCCGTCTACCACCCCTACATCCAGCCCCAGGGCGTCCCGCCGGCCGAGAGCAGGTACCTCCGCACCTGGCTGGAGCCGGCGCCGCGCGGCGAAGCTGCTCCGGGGCAGGGCCAGGCGGCGGTGAAGGCGGAGCCGCTGCTGGGCGCGCCTGGGGAGCTGCTCAAACAGGGAACGCCCGAGTACAGTTTGGAAACTTCGGCGGGCAGGGAGGCCGTCCTGTCTAATCAAAGACCCGGCTACGGGGACAATAAAATTTGCGAAGGAAGCGAGGACAAAGAGAGGCCGGATCAAAGTAAGTTATAAAAAGTGAGGAAATACACAGGCCGAAGGCCAGGCGCGGGGGAGGAGAGGGGAGAGGCAATAAACTGCGGACAATGTGAAGGGACACCGCGGCGGCGGCCAGGGAGCGAGTGGGGGAGGAGGAGAGAGAGAGGAAGGAAGGAAGCCAGCTGGGTGCCCCAGAAGGGGAGACTGAGGCCGCAGGAGGGGACCGCCTCCTCTCCTCCAAGTCCTGGAGGGGGCTGGGGTGCAGGGACCTCCTCGCGGCTTTCGGCCTCCTTCTCCGCCTTCTCCCGGAGGCCCGGGCTGAAGGCCCGGGAAAGGGCTGACGGCGGCCGGCCGGGAGAGTTGGCGGGGCCGGAGCCGGCGGCCAGCGAGGCCGAGAGCTTGCGCCGGCAAGGGCGGGAGCGCACGGGGCTGCCCCGACCGCGCGGCTGGCACAGCTCCCCGCGCCACGCGCAGACCGTAAAAGCCGGCCAAGGGGAAGTGGGAGGGGGCTCATTAGGATTTTATTTGCGATGCAACAGCTTGGCGGAGGATTGTTCCTAGCAGATCTCGCGCGGTAGCCGCTCAGGGTCTGCAGCAGGAACCGGGAGGGGCGGGGGAAGCCCGGGACCCGGTGACCGAGCCCCCTCCCCGGTTGCGCCAGCCCCTCCCCGGGAGCCTTCCCTCTGGTCGCCCCCTCCCCTCCTCTGCATCCTCACCCGGGTTTCTCTCCGCGGAGCTCCCTAGCCCCAGCCGGAGCTGTCCGCCTCGCTGGAAGTCGGAGAATCGCCTCCGAATTTCGGGACCGACAGCCAGAGTGGAGAAGGAGAAATCCTGAAGGGACCTTGGGGAGAGGAAGGGTCGGGGAAGAGAGGCTTGCGGAAAAGCGGAGAACTTTACCCGATGACCACAGTTTCTCATCACCTCCCACTCTTCCAAAAGCACCCCCGCCAGGAACCCAAGTTTGACTAATATCCAGGAGGTGCTGCTCTCTGAGGGTGGTGGCGGGAGTCTCACGTTTTTCGTTTTTAAGACTGAGAAGGGCAGATTGGTTGAAGGCTCTTAGGCCCAAGCAATGACCCTCAAGCTGGCGGGGACAAATCCTCACCCCTTACTTTTCTGGGGGAGTGAGGGTCAGATATTTTAGTTTCTGCTTGCTTTGCCAAATTTTCCATCAACAGCGTGGCTCACAGGCCCTTTGGGGAGTCCTTACCTGCTAGAGGGTAGAGGGTGGCCCCACTTCCTGAGGTCCCTGCGGGGTCCCATCACCTCCAACCTACCGGATTGAGTCACAAGAACTGGCCTTTGGGTGACAACAGGCTCTTCCCAAACCTCCCCTGCTTACACCCCCAAACCCCAAACTCTGCCTGGAAAACCTATTGTTGCAAGGCAGCAGTTTGGCTAGGATCAATTATTAACAGTTTTCCCCCCTTTTCTCATATTTAATGCGGCTGTGGGTCCCATCCCAGGCAGCAATCACATTAAGAAAATACCATTGCAAATTGGTAAGACACAGTAGTGTAGGATGAGCCAGGTTATTTTTTTTTAATGTATTCAGTGCTTTTCATTTGGGAGAAGGACTCTAGCAGAGGGTGGCTGTTATTTTTAATTGGTTCTGCTTTATTTGGCAACTTTTCTGAGTTCCAGGGCAGGGAGAAAGATGGGAAGAAGAGAAGCCTGCATATATTTTCATTTCCTCTTTTTTCCCCTCTTCCACTCAGTGCCCCTTTCTCTGTTCCTCCTCACCACATGGAGCAAGTTGGAGTTAGGTGAGCTATCAAGGGCTTTCTGTTACCCCCGCATCATCCATGGCTCCCCATTTTGGAGCTGTAGCAATCTTGTTTCCCAATCTCCCTGAACTTGCTTTAACCAAACTGCGAGCTGAGCAGGAGTGGAAAAGGAGACTATTGCAACCATAAGTTATCTGTGAGCCCCCAGAGCTCCCTTGTCCACAGGCTGGAGTTGATAAATGGTTGCAATTGGGTTGCATGTGAATTGGAGTGTGCGGGATGTTTGTGTCTCTAAGTGCTGGCCCATATTTGCGCTGTGTAGTGGCGGGGGTGGGGTGCGGTGGGTGAGATATCTACACACTCACATGCCTGCTGCCATGTGGCCAAGAGACGAAAGCCTGTGATCAAGGCAAGGTGTCCTCAGACTGGACTGGAGGGGCAGGAGGTCTCTTGGCTGTGGCTGAACAGGAGCCACTCTCCCCACGCCCGACCCTTCTCTCACCTCCCAGAGCTAAAGCCAGGACACTTCAGGTCAGCCACCCCTAGTTAGTCTGGTGGTGCTGCTGGGTGAGGTGGAGGGGGGAGCATTAGCCTTGCTGGACTCTGACCTGAGTCCTAACCAAGTTGACCCAAGTGGAGAAAGGGCCAGAGAGAACCTGAGGCAGGCAAAGCTTTGAAAATGCCAAGATGCCTGGTACACGTTGGTTCCATTCTATCCAAATAACTCTCACCTGGAGGTTTCTAGAGCAACTCCTGCTCATCTCTGAGACCCTTTGGGGAACTTGAAGGCCCAGGTACTCCCTCTGCAATGCAAGAAGGGGAGTGGAGACCAGGGGCCCACTCTATTGGAAGGAGAGCACAGGGCCTTTCATTCCCCCCTTCCTTTCTTGATTCTATCGCTGCTTTTCTTTCAGCCAACCCTTCCGCCAACTGGCTGCACGCTCGCTCTTCCCGGAAAAAGCGCTGTCCCTACACCAAATACCAGACGCTGGAGCTAGAGAAGGAGTTTCTGTTCAATATGTACCTCACCAGGGACCGTAGGCACGAAGTGGCCAGACTCCTCAATCTGAGTGAGAGACAAGTCAAAATCTGGTTTCAGAACCGGCGGATGAAAATGAAGAAAATGAATAAGGAACAGGGCAAAGAGTGAAGCTGTCCCTGGCCCTCCCCACCTCCTCCCCATCTCACGCTTATTTATAAGTGATGGCTGCAGAGCCAGTGCTGTCCAGGATGAATTCAAGTGAATGGGGAAGGGAGTCTTTCTCTTCGAAGTCCTTTTCTGCATCTAGAGCATCTCCTTTCCTTTGCCCTTACCTGTTCTTCTCTTCTCCCTGGACCTCAGGAGGAAGTATTGTTGATTTAGAGGGTAGATGTAGTTGGTTCCTAAGAAGGTGATGGGCCACAAGGAAAGAGACCTTAGCTGAGTCCCTAGCAACTCCCTTAATTTTTCCGGGAAGCCCCAGCCCCTCACTTCCAGCCTGCTTTTCCCTCCCCCCACCCGCCCCACACTTATCCCAGAGTCACCCAGGGACACTCCAGGTGCACACAGTCCAACAGAAGCTTGCATATATAAAGCCTGGAGCCTACAGTAGTAGTAATGGGGGAGGCTCATAGTCAACACTCAAATGAAGTGACACCCCAAATGCTGACCATCGCACCCCAGATCTGGCTGCATAGCCCGCAGACCATCAGGCAAGCCCAGATTCCACCCTTGATGCAAGTACACACCAAGATGTCCAGAGACACACTCCTGAATGAGGCTCTTCAGCCCGAAGGGATCAGCATCACAATACCATCCCTGTGGAATCCCCGCCTGGACACAGGGCATGTGGGATAAACTCAGCCCCCTAGTTGGTGGGCTAGAAAGGCCAAGGAAAGGCAGAACTGGTCTTAGAAGGTATCTGAGGTTTTATGAAGTCATTCCACACACACACACACACATTTTGTTGCAGGAAATGTTTAATTCTGCATGTTGTTCTCTTCTCCTTCCAACAAAAGGAGGTCAAATCCCAGGTCGTGAGCCTTGACAATGTCGTCTGTCTGTTCATCTGTGCCCCGCTTGTCAGAAACTGTAACTTCTCTTGCTCTACACGGGCCCTGCATTCTTCTGCATCCTCTCCAGCTCTGGAATCAACTCTCTTCGGCCAAATCCACCTTGCACCAGCAAATGAAGCCGCCCTTCGAAGGGAAAGCCCCTTCACCCTCCATCCCCTGCCAGCTCAACACCACCATAGGCAGGAAAGCCAGGTCAGGAGAGTCCGAGAATTTACTGTGAATGGATTCCCAGGCTCCTTTCCGGGGTAAGTGGTGGAGGACAGGAAGGCGCAAAAGCTCCAGCGCGAGCTTGGGGCGTTCCTCCCCATCCTGCGCACCTCCAGACTCTTGTGGAGAAGCTCGGGCCTGGTGGCTGCCCGAGCCAACACAAGACGAGACCCGTCCCAGCGCGAGGCTTTAGCTGGCGGGATGCGGGCCTGGATGGCAAGCCGCGAGGCTGCTGCGTACCCGCTCCTGGGGAACAGTTCCGCGTGCAGAGGAAAAAGGTGAAACTGAACCTAAGCATCAGGCCGAAGCTTACCCTCTGCTTCTCTTTCTCCCCTGCACCCCCACCTCTCCAATCCCCTCCAATTCTATAGACTCGCTCCTGCTTCCCCCAACCCTGCAAGGGGACATTTCAGTAGAACTTTTTTGCTTTCTCAGTGGGTGTCGTGAAATTGTGCTGTTTTGTGATTTCTTTGGAGGTGATTGTCTCGCCTGTGTTCAGTTGTCGCTTATATGGGAGGGTTGTGGGTGGGAGAGGGGAGGGTGAGGGACCTAGAACTCTGATTGTTTGTTTTGGAAAAAAAAGAAAAAGAAAAAGAACAAAAATATATATCACTCTAGAAAATAAATATCTCCTGTCTTATTCTGTGTTGGCTCTCCTCACCTGGCCAGAGGTACACATCCTACCTCCAAGAGGGCGGCTTGGCAAAAAGGAAATTTCAAGTCCTGTGCTCAAGAGGTTTCTCCTTAGACCTTGCAGAGCAGGCTTCCTGGTGGTGCGAAGAGATGGTCCTGCCCCAGGTCCGCAGATCACTCCTTGAACTGAGCAAGAGCCTTCCAACAGGAGAGCTGGGAAGCTGGAGGGAGAGGAAAGGAAAGATTAGTGGTTTGGAGAGGAGTCTGGGTCTGCAGGGAGCCGTGGGATCTGCCTCCAAATTTGCACTGGAGACTCCCCATCAGCTCCAGAGTGAGAGGGAAGGCGAGGTCTGCCCTGCAGCTCCTGGAAACAGTTCCTTTCTCAGCGGGCTGAGAATGTCACCTTGGTTTGACCATTTAAAAAATATCATGCAAGTGAGGAAGACAGTAATCTCCTTCTGCTATTCCCTGCAGCAGGGTGACTGAATATAGACAAGAGGCCCTGGGGAGGTCAGGCTGTCCTTTCTTTCATTCAAAAGAAGTGAAGCCCTTAGGGGTCTTGGTCCCCAGTTGGAGTCTGAGGCTCCAACGTGAACCACAGGGTAGCAGTCTTGGTGTAAGGTTGGGGGATGCCTGGGGAAGTAGCTCCCACAGGGTAGGAGAGGGGATGGAGTGTGCAACAGAAATGTCTCAGGAGAAAAAACCCTTCTCAGTCAGATCCCAGAACTAACTACCGCTTCAAGAGGCACCTCTCTGTCCCTCTGTCATGTGAAGACCGCTGCTCTCTGCAGCAAAGCCTTTCTCCTCGAGGCGCTGGGATTCCGCTTCTGCCGGGCTGGAGCTTCGGAAGCGGCCTCCCGCCGGGGCCTCCCACCCAGCCCACCCAGGCAACACTGCAGCCCAGAGACCCTGAGGGTTGGGGTAGCAGTAGCGGTGGGGACAAAGCAGGCCCTAATGAAAAGATCCAGGGAGTGAAAAGGCCAGGCCTACCCCTCTCCAGCGAACAAGATGAACTAATCTGAGATAGCAGAAGGCAGGAGAAAGCGAAGCTCTTGGGTATGGCAGGGCCCCGACCTGCATCCTTCAAGGAGGGTTTCTTTCAGGATATAAAATGGATCTGGCTTTAGAGCTTGTGTAGACTAGGCTCCCTCCCCATCCAAGGCTCCCTGGAGCCGGCCGGCGCAGAGTGAGCCGAGCAGGCCGGATTCCGCCACGAGGAAACACAAAAAGCCGGGCTGGAACCGGACTCAGGGCAGCTGGGTAGGGGGCGACGGCGCCCAGAGAAGCCTCCAGCGGCGTCTGGATCCTTAGCTGGAGGTGGTTTCTTAAAGACAAAGGCGAATACGTGGAGATTCGGAAGCCGGAGATAGGAAACTCTGTTGTCATAAAAGCGAGCGGGAGAGTCAGAAAGGGAGACCGCGCGAGTGCGAGACAGAGAGAAGCCAGGAGAGGAATTCAATGCCGTGTGCGCAGCAATAAAAGAATATGACCGCTATAAAAGTTTATAGCGTATAAATTTCTGAAGGTTAAGAAACTAAACAGCAGCAAAGCAAACAGAGAGAGGAAACTTTCCGGAGCTGAGAGAGCTGCAGCTGGGCCTGGGCTCCGGACCTGGCGGGGTGATGGGTGGCGGGGCGGCAGCCCCACCCTCACCCACGCAGTACGGGGTGCTTGGGGTTTCAGGGGCCCCGGGGGACACAGAGGGGCAAAGAGGAAAGGGGGGAGGGAAGCTCACTTTTGTCACAAATGCTTCAGGGGACGCATTTCGGACTCTTGTCTTTGTTCTTCACACCCCCTTCAGAATCGGGCGTCATAGATGGGAAGCCCCCTGCGCGCGCGCGCGCGCGCACACACACACACACACACACAGGTCTGGCAGGGCCAGACGTCTGGGCGCGGGCCGCCTCTTGATCCTTTTACAGCCCCATCCCACCCTCTCAGGCCTGCTCTCCCCCCACAAAAAGCCCAATTGTTTCTCCTCACAATTTGAAACAATCGTGTTGGGCTTGAAAAGTGCTCGGCTCTCCTTTAACGGGCCATAAACGACACACTGCTTGGAGGTCCCCGGCAGAAATGAGGGGCTTGAGGTGGGGGGTGGTGCGGGTGTAAATACGACAGAAAAAAGCTTATAGCTTCTTTTTCCTTTGGTTTTTGTTTTGCTTTGTTTAGCTTATCTGCACCGTTTCATGAACCAATTCTTGATTTCTGATGTCTTTTCTCCCGTCCGCTCTCGTTTCCCTCCCGTTTTTCTGCTAATAATTAAAGTTTCTCCAGCTGGTCGCCTTGGTGGCTGGCTTTCTGAGAAACTGGCCTAGCCGGCGGCGGCGGCAGCGGCGCCTTTTCTCAGGTGAGCCGCTAGATGGCACCCGTGCTCCACGTGAAAATCCACGGTGCGGCGACTGCAGGCACTGGCGGCGGCACATCGCACCTTGGTCGTCCCTAGAATCTATGTATGAACTGAGCGCTACCAAAAGTCATGAATAATTTGCATGTAATAAAAATACAGGGTTCATTACGGCCATTTCTCCCCTTTTATAGGGTTCAGATATAGAGGTGCTGTTCCCCTTTCCTCAAATGATCAATTTTCTGAATTTCCCCTAGGAGAAGGGCTCAATGCTTCTCACCCAGTTTCTGTGTTCGGTAGGGCAACAAATGCATGAAAACGGGGGGAAATAATAAGAATAATGGGTCCAAATAAAGGAGAACTGGTTCGGAAAAATATGAGATTTTCGGGACAGGGGGGCAAAGGACTGTCTGCGTGAGGATGCGGGTGAGCAGGTCGGGTGAGAGGGGCCCGCGGGCAGAAGAGGGTTGGATGAAGAGGAAACTGTCCCGAAACCCGCTGCCTGCTGCCAGATCGGCAGGAGAGGGAACCGGGTGAGCCAGCCTGGAGGGTGGGAGGATGGGAGGAGAATTTGGGAGGAAATGGATCCGTGGCTTCGGTGGGGATTTGGAGGTGCCCAGGACTGCCGGGCAGCTTAGCACTCAGCACGGACAGAGGCTCCAGAGCCTTTTGTACAGGTCCGAGACTGGGCGCGCGCCAGACGACCCAGGCGCGGGGCAGGGGCTCCCCAGAAAGGCGAGGTGCGGGAAGGCTTGGAGAGCTCCTGGGTTGTTCTGCGCACCCCAAGTTGGGCCGCCAAAAATAGTGTGTGTTTTCCGGATGGATGAGGGGGCAGGCACAGCGGCAGGAGGCAGGAGCTCTGTTCTCCCCGCAGTCCGTGGCTTCCAGGTGAGCTCTCCCGCTCCGTGCGCAGCGGCCCGGCCCCAGGCCAAGCTGGGGACACAGGTCCTCTCCCAATTTAGCAGCTGGAGGCCTGGACTTTCGGCATTTTTTCGTTCTGAGCCCCGTGCACTGTATGCCTATAGCCCCTTCGATTCCAAACCTCCCATTTCCTCCTAGCCCAGCCCGATCTGTGCCCTCCATCCGGACAAACCTGCGCGAGAAACAGACACCCTCCTCCACCTTCTTAAAATTAGCTCCGCCGCCGTCTCCTCTTCCCGCAGGACCGGGTGCGAAGAGAGGGGAGTTTCTCAACTTGAGTTTCTCTAATAAATCTGCGCTCCGTTGGGTGTTTATAAATTATCTCCTTGCTCTTTCTTGTTTTTTCTTATAATAGAAACATTTTCCTTCCATCAGGAATTTCTGGCACGGTGTGGGGATGATTTAGAACAAGCCACTGAATTCCTACCTCACCGGTGAGTCCTCAAATCATGACCATAAAATCCCCCGCACTTGATAAAAATGTTCTCTTCGGCAGCAATTTAACTCTGCCTTCCGCTATCTCATCGCCCCCTCAAACTCACGTTGACAATTCAAGGCCCGGTTCTCTCCCTCCTTTTCTCCCTTCTCCCTTTCAGTCCCTCTCCCATTCTCCGGATTCACATTTGAAGAATGAGTGGCCCCACTGGTAACTTCCCCTTGAAATAGGTGATGGTTTCATTTTCACAAAGATTGGGGTGAATGGGATTCCCCCAAAACAACTCTGAAAGCACACTACTATCTCCTGAATAAACAACGGATTGACTGTATTCATAAAGCCTCCATCCTGTTGCTAGAAATTTTCTTTTCCCTTCTCTCTCTCCCTCCCTTCTTTCTTCCCTTCCCTTGGCCAGTTAAGCTGCTTCAGGAGGTCACTGGTTAGGACCCATGGCTGGGGCCTTCTAAACCCTGTCCACCATTGTGACTAGGCCTGGTAGGCCAGCAAAGCAAACAGCAAGAGTGTGGCTCCCAGTGTGTTCTGTCCTATAGGCACTCTTTCGGGGCCCAGGTCTACAGGGAGAGTGGGGTTTAACTAGAAGCTCCCCAAGGGGAGAGGAAACATGGGGGAACTCAGTGGCCTTGCTACATCCAAACCCTTTCTACCCCAAGGTCAATTTAGGTAGTGACGGTGGTTCAAAGGATGCTGAAAGCTAAAAGGTGTCCCCCACCCCCATGCACACACTCTGCAACCACTGTCTAGGGCAGAGGAGGGCACAGGACAGCAGGCACCAAGGCCAGTAGCTGGGCCTCAGTGTCCAGCAGTGGCCTCTGTTCCCCTTCCCTTCCCTTGATGTGCTGATGGGCTTGGTGGTGCCCTCTCCCTGCAGGGTTGGGGTGTGTGTATTCTGGAATGTGTGGAGGACTGGTCTGGGAAGGTTGGGAGCCAGCTGGGCTGGGTTACTGGGTCCCAAAGCCTGGGTGCAGGAGTGGGGCAGCTCAACTAGGTATCATCCTGCTGGTGGCATCAGGCCCCTCTCTCCAGCACACAAAGTCAGTGCCCCAAAGAGCTGACTGGGTCCAGGTGCCTCCTAGGACCCCCACCCCCACCTCATTCCAGCACTCCCTCCCTAGAGATGTGCTAAACTGCAGACTCTGGCGACTGCAGGGTGAACTTTGATCTGTGCTTCACCACTGCCCATCAGCCAGAAAGTTTCTTCTCCCCCTCCTGAGCCCTCCTCCTGGTCTCCGTACCCCTTCTCCAGAGAAAATTCCGGTTTGTTTAATGAGGGAAAGTTGGTGAGTGGCTGGAGTGGGGCAGAGAGCAGGCGGCTTGGGGCTCCAGAAGAGGGGGTGCCAGCAGGTGCTCGCCACAGCCGAAGGAAGCGAAAATCTCTGAGAAGTCACCGTTTGCTCCGAAAAAAACCATAATCGTTCTCATTTCGGTTTCGTCACCCCCACCGTGCTGCAGTCGGGTGGCGGGGGCGATCGAAGCTGCAGTTTTATAGCTGTAGAGGAAAGAACTCGTAAAATGCTAACAGCTTTTATGCGCTGCGGCATAAACAACAACAGACTCCGGCTTTATTGCGTTTTATAGTTTGTTAAAGAGTTTACAGCCGTTTTTTGGGGGGCCGGTTACCCAGCCAATTCCCTCCACGCGATAGTTAAACCTTTATCAATAATAAGGAAATTGATCATTAAAGCTTTAAATATGACTACCTCGTTTGTTTGAAAATATGTTTAGGAGAGGAAGCTGTATGATTTGATAACTTGTATTAAAATACCAATTACATTTATAGGACCTTTTAAAACTCGGCGCAATTAAACCGTGTTCTTTTACATTTTTCCGAAGCGACCCTGACATTTAAAAAGACTCCAACTGCCTCGTTAAAATCGCGAAATTAACAGCGTGCCTACGCCTGGCGCGTTGGGTATGTGTGTGTGCGTGGTTTTCTCCGCGACTCCCCCACATCAGTCTTTGGGGGTGGTCCGCGAAGGTATTTGATTTGTTGTGAGGCGAGAGATATCTCATTAATGTAGGTAGTTAAACAGATTTAATCCGTATTCATTCTCTCTCTCACCCCCTCTCCCTCTCCCCCTCTCGCTTCCCCTCTCCCCCTCTCTCTCCCGGGGTGTTTTTTTTCTTCCCCTCCTTTTTTTTCCGCTCTCTCCTCACGCCCCGGCGCTCGCTCGCTCCAGCTCTCTCTCTCGCTCGCTCGCTCTCGCTCTCACCCTCGCTCTGCGTTCTGTCCGGGAGGAGTACGGAGAAGCCAATAGGATGCGGGGTCTCTAATGGATGCAAATGATCATGAAAAGACAGTGCAAAATATGAAACAACTCATTTGCAGGGAAGTAAATCACCGAAAACTGTTTATGAACTGGCATCCCTTCTTCGAAATGTAAAGCGAGGACCTCTTTAAGTGGCGGTATATTTTTGTTTGGGGGGTGGGGGGTGGGGGGAGGGCGAGCGAGCCGCGGCTGCCATGCAAGCTTAGACTTTTGGAGGCTTCGCTGTCCTTTTCTATTCCTGGAAATCACAAAAAGTGTGGTGGCTTCGAGATCTTCTTCGCCTTTTCTTTCTTTTCCTTTTTTTTCCTCCTCCCTTTCCCTCTCCTTTCCTGGCGAGGGTGACTAGGAGCCGGCGAATCCGCGTTTTTTTCTCTCTCTCCCTCCCTTTCCCCCTCCCCACCCCCTCCCCAACAGCCCCCAACTACAGCCGCCGCCGCCGCCGCCGCCGCCTCAAAATTCAATAAAATGAGCTCTTATTTCGTCAACTCACTGTTCTCCAAATACAAAACCGGGGAGTCCCTGCGCCCCAATTATTATGACTGCGGCTTCGCCCAGGACCTGGGCGGCCGACCCACCGTGGTGTACGGTCCCAGCAGCGGCGGCAGCTTCCAGCACCCGTCGCAAATCCAGGAGTTCTACCACGGGCCGTCGTCGCTGTCCACGGCTCCCTACCAGCAGAACCCGTGCGCCGTGGCGTGCCACGGGGACCCCGGCAACTTCTACGGCTACGACCCGCTGCAGCGGCAGAGCCTTTTTGGTGCGCAGGATCCAGACCTGGTGCAGTACGCCGACTGCAAGCTCGCCGCCGCCAGCGGCCTGGGCGAGGAGGCCGAGGGATCAGAGCAGAGCCCGTCGCCCACACAGCTCTTCCCCTGGATGCGCCCGCAAGGTGAGCTCGCTTGGGGGACCGGCGGGCGGAAGGGAGCCCAGAGGGCCCGAGGCCGGGCGGGGGGCCGGGCAGGCCGGGCGCGTTTCCTCCAGCTCCTGGAAGACGTGCCTGCTCCGTTCAGAAAGCCTCCCCCTTTCTTTCTTTCCTTCCTTCCTTCCTTCCTTCCTTCCTTCTTACCCTCCTTCCTTCCTTCCTTTTTTGTTTCCCTTAAAGGGGGGTCGCTAAGCGACATTTCCTGAATCCATAAACCCCTCACCCTGCCTTACTCTTCTTCTTCTTCCCATCCTTTTTTTTCCCCTTTTACTGTTTTATGGGGGGTAGTGGAGAGAGGGTGGTGGGTGGTGGGAGTGGGGCGCTCAACTTTTGCACTTCTCAATTGCTTTATAGTTTAATTACCCTGAAGAAACTTTTCTTCTGGGGCAGAGGCTCTGGGGGCTTTTCAAGGTGGGTCCATTCGTCCCCATCCCGGCTTTTTTATTCTTATTTTTCCCCCTCCTTCACATCCTTCCTTCTAAAGTTTATGGCACTTTTAATAGATTTGAACCAACCCCCACCCAACTCTCTGGTGCTGGTTACCAGGGGAGGGGGCTCCCCCTTTCTGGCTTCCTTAGATTCACTGGCATCTGATCCCCCCTCCCCCCTCTGCTGACCGCGGCTTCCCAGCGCCCCCGCCCCTGAGCAGGGTGGAAGGTCCCCTGCCCTTATTATACTGGTCTCCTAGGCTGGTTCACGAATCTTCCAACCTTCTCCGTCTCTGCCCCCTCCCCCACCCCCTCCCCTCTGTCTCGCTCTTTCCCCCATTCCCAGCAGCCGCCGGACGCAGGCGAGGCCGACAGACCTACAGCCGCTACCAGACCCTGGAGCTGGAGAAGGAGTTCCTATTTAATCCCTATCTGACTCGCAAGCGGCGGATCGAGGTATCGCATGCGCTGGGACTGACAGAGAGACAGGTCAAAATCTGGTTCCAGAACCGGAGGATGAAGTGGAAAAAAGAGAACAACAAAGACAAGTTCCCCAGCAGCAAATGCGAGCAGGAGGAGCTGGAGAAACAGAAGCTGGAGCGGGCCCCGGAAGCGGCGGACGAGGGCGATGCGCAAAAGGGCGACAAGAAGTAGGCTCCAGCTCGGACTGCCAGGGCCGCGGCCGCCCTCGGTCCGCGGGTTCCCCGCCAGCGCCGCCGTCGCCCGCCCCCGCCCGCCCCAGACAGCTCTGGCCCCGCGAGCGGGCCCGGAGCCCGGCCTCCCACCGCAGCGTCCCCCGCCGCGCTGTCCCCGCTAGTGGTAGTATCTCGTAATAGCTTCTGTGTGTGAGCTACCGTGGATCTCCTCCCTTTCTCTTGGGGGCCGGGGGGGAAAAGAAAAGGATTTTAGGCAAAGACTCCCTCGCCCTGCGAGGCTGAGCGGCTGCGGCCTGGCCGAGCACCCCTCCCCCCTGCCCCCGCCCCGTGTAAAAAGCCTCCTTGTGCAATGGTCTTTTTTCCTTTGAACGTGCTTTGTAATGATCGAGGTACCGATTTCTGCTAAGTTCTCCCAACAACATGAAACTGCCTATTCACGCCGTAATTCTTTCTGTCTCCCTCTCTCTCCTTCTCTCTCTCGCTCTCTCTTCGTCTCTCCCTCTCTCCCTGTCTCTGGCCTCGTCCTCATCTCCACCCCCCCAACCCCTCTTCCCCTGCTGCCCTCCCTAGCTCGCTAGCTTTCTCTCTTGCTTCTCTCTTTTCCTCGCCAATCCCCCCCTTCCTTTGGTTTGACAATTTCGTCTTAAGTGTTTCTCAAAAGAGGTTACTTTAGTTAGCATGCGCGCTGTGGGCAATTGTTAAAAGTGTTCTTAGGTTTACTGTGAAGAGAATGTATCCTGTATCCGTGAATTGCTTTACTGGGGGAGGGAGGGCTAATTATATATTTTGTTGTTCCTCTATACTTTGTTCTGTTGTCTGCGCCTGAAAAGGGCGGAAGAGTTACAATAAAGTTTACAAGCGAGAACGGAGACTGGCCCGGCTCGCGCTCATTTGCCCCCGGCGCCTTGCAGAGCTGGGGGGAGCCGGTCACCGGGCTTCTGCGCCCGCCAGGCCACGCCGCGGAGAGGAGGGGGCGGGGGCTGGAGGCAGGTGGTACAAGTCCCTTGGCCCAGGGGCGCCGGGGGTGAGGAAGGCGGCTGCGCGTGATTGGAGGAGAGGGGACCAAGGGAGGGGAGCCAGAAGAAGCCCCCTCCCTTTGCGTTCCGAGGTTTTCTGGCTCCGGAGAACCGGACGCCCAGGCCATGCTGGAGAGATGCGCCCAGGCTGGTGGCTACGTCCTCAGCCACCTCCCCCTTTGTTTCTGTGTGCCCTTTCTCGTGTGTGTGAAGAGGGTGGGAGGCAAAGGTGGCGTGCAGGGCTCCTGGACAACCTCGTGTTTTAATTTTTCCCGGACTCTGGCGGGGGAGCAGGAGAGGGAAGATATTCTTCCCTGCCTTTCTCTATCCCGGACTTGGCCTCCTTCTTCCAGGACCGATTTCGTGCCTCACTGCCTTCCTTCTCCCACTCGCAGCCAAGCTTAACTGAGGCATTCGCCTTCCGGAACCAGGAGAACAGCGTACCCAGCCGTCCGCCTCCCTTCCTTTCTCTTCCCACCCCTTCCTTTTTAAGTTTATTTTCAAGCCGTTTGTTTTTTGTTTTTTTTGTTGTTGTTAGCCACAGAAACCTCAGTATCCAACACCCGTAGGCTGGACTCCGCGCCTAGAGGAACGCCCACGAAACCTCGCTCCATCCCTGCCCGTGTGTCTGGGGCACCGAGAGAGCCGTGTGGCCAGGCTCACCTCGTTCCTCACCTCAGGAGAACTGGACTAAATTCCCCCAAAGGCCCCGCTAGGCTGCGTTGGTCCGGATTAATAAAGACCTGACCTGTCTCCACCCACCAACCCACCCACTTGCGTGCAATCCCTGCGTTTGTTTCTGGCTGGGTAACGGGCTGGGAGGTTGGGTGGGGGTAACAACACAGATCGCTCCAAGGTTATTTTCCCTTCCACTCAATCCCTTCCTCCCCAAATCTCGCCCTCAAGCTGCCACCAGCTCACAGGGGTCGACAGCGGCCCTTGAGCCCCCAGCCCCAATCCACAGGGCTTGGCTTTCCCATTCATTATTGATCATGTTTTATAAATTCAAAGCCACACAATTTTTTCCACATTACCGGGAGCCGTGGGGAGGCTGCCCTGCCATTGGCGGAGGAGATGTCACGTGGGCGAGGTCACGTGGTCCGGAGAGGAAAAAGGGGGTCCTTTTTGGTGTAAATCTGGACTCTAATTCTGTAATATATCAAGGAATCTCGTAAAACCGACACTAAAACGTCCCTGCCTACAAATCATCCGGCCAAATTATGAGTTCATTGTATTATGCGAATGCTTTATTTTCTAAATATCCAGCCGCAAGTTCGGTTTTCGCTACTGGAGCCTTCCCCGAACAAACTTCTTGTGCGTTTGCTTCCAACCCCCAGCGCCCGGGCTATGGAGCTGGTTCGGGCGCTTCCTTCGCCACCTCGATGCAGGGCTTGTACCCCGGCGGGGGGGGCATGGCGGGCCAGAGTGCAGCCGGTGTCTACGCTGCCGGCTACGGGCTCGAGCCGAGTTCCTTCAACATGCACTGCGCGCCCTTTGAGCAGAACCTCTCCGGGGTGTGTCCCGGCGACTCCGCCAAGGCGGCGGGCGCCAAGGAGCAGAGGGACTCGGACTTGGCGGCCGAGAGTAACTTCCGGATCTACCCCTGGATGCGAAGCTCAGGTAACGCCGCGCACCGAGCCGTCCCGAGTGGCAGTGGCTGGGGCCATTCCCCGGCAGGCGCCGCCTTCCCGGCCAATTGCCCCATTTCGCGTCTAGAGTGCTCCCGGCAGGAGGTCGGCCCTGGGGACACGGCACCCCCCCCCCGGCCACGGCCCCGCGCGCTGCCCCCACCCCCATTTTTGCTTGGTGCTCCCAGGATCGCTCTGTTTCCCTGGCGGATCTCTCTTCGCCGACGCCGAAGCGCTCCAAGCCCCCAGCCGGACCCCCACCCTTCCTCTCGGCCTTTTAGCTTTAAATATTTATCAGCCGCGGCGGCACGGGCTGGAGAGGAGGCCGTTTGTCTTGCGGAGGAAGGCTGGGGTTTGCAGAGAATAGCCATTAGGGTCTCCCCCCCCCTTCTCCCTTTCCCCACCGGGGATCTCAGCTCCGGGTGTGTCCCCCAGCCCCAGCTCGGATAAGGTCTGGGGGAGGGGGCCGCAGCGCTGAGCAATTCTCCCCTCCCCCTTCCTTCCCAGCCAACCCCGCTCCCCCATTATTCCCTTCTGGACAATTAGAGGTGGGCTCAAGAGGCCTAGGGGGAGGAGGGGGTATGAGAAGAGATGAAGATTGAGCCAGGGATACAGAGCCAGAGAGGCAGGTGGAAAGAGGGGGGTTAAGCCGAGATGAAGCTCCTGACCCCCCAGTGAACTTGGGAAGTGGGAGACAGGAGAACTAGAGAAAGGACAGAGCCCTCAAGGGAGTATAGCTGGCTTCCTCAGGTACCCTTCCTAGGGCTCCTAAGCACCCCTGGAGAACTGGCCGACACATTTGCAGGTATTTCATAGGGTGAATATCTTCTAGGACTCTCTAGAGCCAAACCAAGAGTTAGGGGGTACAGGCCACTGAGCCAGTTGCTGCAGTAACCCAAAGAGACCAGGTCTTAAGATAAGCCTGAACCAGATATCCTTCTTAATGCTGCCCTGGAGTCATGGACCAACCTCAAGGTCCAGAAGGCCCAAGATGTGTGGTCAGAGGCTTCCAATCCAGCCAGGGTTGAAGGCCAGGAGAAGCCAGCTCTTAAACTATCAGTATTGGTGGTCACAATCCCCATTACCTGCTCCATAATTCAACTGCCTTTCCAGTTGATTTATCAAAGCCGAAATTTTTCTGCTCGTAAACATTTCAGCTTGGCTTTTATCTGGCTTGAAATTAGGGCCCCTTGCCCCTCCTCTCACTGGCTCCTTCCCAGCAGGGCTGGTACCAGCACCTCCCCCAGTCCAGCCTCCCCCAAGCCTCCTCCAGGTTTTAGGCCTAACCTGGGAAGCTCTCCCTGCCCTACAGTCCCCAGCACCCAGATACTTCAGGTTCTATCCTAACCTGCTCTACTGTCTCTCCTCTCCCCCTGTGCCTTCCTGGAGGCCCACAGATTGCTTTGGAGAGCTGGGTTGTCTGGGCAGATGGTCAGGCAAGACAACCTGGCCCTGTCTGAACCTCAGACACTCACTGGAAAATAGTCATCAGAGAGCAGCTGCTCTCAGACCAACTCCAAGGAAATCTGCAAATTTTCACCTCCTCCTCCTCATTCCACAACAGGCAGGGGGTGGTGGGGTTGACTGAACCGGTGAGGCTCTTTTGGCTCCTTTTCTTTTCGGGAAGAGTACTCAGGCCAGGCCTAGAGCCCCAGTCTGGGGTCACTTGCACGATTTCCATTGCCCTCCACCTCAAAGACCATCAGAGTCAGCATCTTCAAGAGGAGGCTTGGGGTCTTGTTCCCCACCATGCCAGGGAAGATCAGCCTCCCTTCATTCCACATACACCTCCTAGGTGCAAGGCCTCCAATAGCAAGCAGCTTAGATCTTGTGTTCAGAAGCCCTCGGCTGGAAGCCTTCAGGTGGAAAATGGGAATGCCTGCTTTGGGAAGCCTGTAGAAAAATCTGCACATTGAGAGACAAGGCGGGCAGAGGCTGGGGTATGGAAAGTGAGAATTCGGTTTAGTGGGAAAATGGGCTCTTCCAACTACCCAATGCAAACCACACACAAGGTCTAAAAGAGAGGTGGGCACTCTCGTGTCTTTTTCCACACGCACTGATTTTTCCCTCTAATGTGTGCAGGGACCGACCGCAAGCGAGGCCGCCAGACCTACACACGCTACCAGACCCTGGAGCTGGAGAAGGAGTTTCACTACAATCGCTACCTGACGCGGCGGCGGCGCATCGAGATCGCGCACGCGCTCTGCCTCACGGAAAGACAAATCAAGATCTGGTTCCAGAACCGGCGCATGAAGTGGAAAAAGGAGAACAAGACCGCGGGCCCCGGGGCCACCGGCCAGGACAAGGCTGAGGCAGAGGAGGACGAGGAAGAGTGAGGAATAGAGAAAAAGCAGAGGAAGAGAGATTAGAAAGGGAGAGAGGGAGAAGCCTAGCTCTGGGAACTGAACCAGGAACTTAAATTAAATAGTGGGGGGGGGGGTGAACCCTATTTAAATGGAAAGCAGTTAAAAACATTTTAAGGCGAAAAGGTGAAATTTTGGTTTAACACTGAAAAAAAAATACTACCTATAGAAAAGTCCGAAAGGTTTGTTTTGTACAATATGGGAAGGACATATCTACCTGTTCTGTACCTTTCTGTATTTTCCCCCTCTTTTTTATGTCGCTGTTGTAAGGTCTTTGTAAAATCTTGCTGTTTTGTAAGCCGTCTTTGATGCTGTCTTTGCGGTCTGTGGGTCTGGACTAGTGTATGTGCTTCCCAGTCCTTCTGAGCCCCGGCCTTGGCAGTAGTGGCACTGAAGAGGTTTTAGGGAGCTCCATGGACCCACTGACTAGTTCAAATGTCTCCTCTGTGCACCTAGCCTGTCTGATGCTCCTTGCTCCTGCCAGCCCCTGTGATCCTCTTTACATCCTGTGTGTATCTGAAGAATTGAGAAATAAAACAATTTAAAAATAAACAAATACCCTCTTTTCTGTGTCTCAGTAAGGCTGGGAGATTAACCCTGCTCCAAGTTAGCTATGCATCCAGTGCCCCTCTGCTCCAGTACCTGCCGCTGGCCCATTTCTTTGTATGCTGGCATCTCCTCTTTTTCCTGGTGATCCTTGCTGTGGGAGCTGCCAGCTAGAGAATGCTGGTATCACACATTTCCTTTACATCCTTTTATACATATTGACACACACAAATGCACAGTCACATATATTTACAGGCTGACAACACATAAATATATACATTGTTGAATAGAAACACACATAAATACCTAAA